TGCCCCCCCCCCCCCCCCCCCGTTTTTTAATTTATTTAATCTATTTATTTTACATATTAACCGGTTTAAATGATTCGTCTTATACTTCACAATTACTTTCATACAGAGTCCTGTGTGTGTCTTCAGTAATCTAGTGCAGGACTATCTCTCTCTCTCTGTCCCTCTGGTAGGATCCCTCTCCACTATGTCTATAATCACCAGTCACAAGCCTTGTCCAAAAGAGGTTCCTGTGCCTTTGATGCTAGTAATAGTTTCTCAGTCATATAAATTATGTTTGGAAAGGAACGGGGGATTAAAAGATGAGCCTGCAAAGGTCAGAGCTCAGTCAGACAAATGCGTTGTCACCCTCACCCTCCCTCCGGATTCGTGAAAGAACAGGTGGTAGACATGGCGGTTGGGGTAGAATGAAAGAGCTGAAACAGAAACAGCAATTACATGGCCTGAGCCTCTTTTAAAAAGTGTCTCTTACATTTATATTTATCTTAATTTGGGTACAACCCAACCACTTTGCATTGTGCCCAAAAGAACCCTGTCTTTTTTGACAGTAAAATGTTTTATTATTGCATCTCTTAACCATGTTAACGTCGTGCATCCTGGATTTAGGGGTATCCTGAGACTTTAGTACTGAACTTATTAATCATTTTTAGTCAAAAATCCAAAACCAAAATCCACATCAAATTTCAGTACATTGTATTCCATTAGGTCTCTTGAGTGGAGAAGCACTAACTGCATGTGCTGCTTTTTTTTCTTATGACTGTGGTTCTGTAAATTCACTGTTACAACCGCCACACTTGAGCCATCATAATTAAATAAAATGTAAACGTCTGCATTAAACAGCCCATTATGTGGTTTTTACCTTTTCTGGGAAGCCTTTGATGCTGGCTGGTAGAATATGGGCAATGAAAGGGCTGTCCTTGATGTCCTCATCATCACAGATTACATGCACAGCATACTCGCCAGGCTCAGTGGGCCAGTAGCGCACATCACATGAGCCATCTCCCTTGTCATCACACTCAATCTTTGCCTGTGAGGGGCCCTCAATGGAGAAGCCTAGAGATAACATTGAAAACAGTGTTTGCAAACAATGGCATTCTATATCAAATTCAAATAAAACTATACAAATAGATATGAAATAGTGCCTTTATGTTAGTATTGTGTATAGGATCTCTTACCAAGTGTTCCAACCTCTGTGCCTATGGCTTCCACCACAAAATCAGCAGATTTGCCCACCATGCCAGTCTCCAGGCCAGGTCCCCATGCTCTAACTTTCTGTACTCCGACCTCAGGGCTGACAAGAACCTCAAATGGGCTGTATATAAAAGGAACAGCAAAATTGTATTAAAACACAAAGCAAAAAAAGGAATTATTTGTATAAAGACCTTGTTGCTATAACTGCCATTTTATTTTGTCAGAAAGTGTGTTTCTGTTAAGATAAAAAAAGGTGTATTTCATAAAATAAATCCTAGATTTATACAATATATAATAAAATGTATAACTAAGAATGTATGTGTATGCTACATATGAAAATGAGATAAAGATATGGAAAAAAAAGGGCAGTAAAGTTTAATTTTTTTGTTG